GTATCTTGGCGAATGCTCTAGTATTTGCTAGATAGGGTAGGCTGGTATATAAAAGAGGGGAATGTAATGTGTGTAGACAGTGTGTAATTGATCTGCAGTCAGAAGTATTATTGACGTTCGTTGATATAGCGTTTGTTTTAGCACGATTGTTGAAGTTGAGTGTATCGGTAAAGTGATATTCGGAAAGAATAAACCAGTTTTATTAAGTAAAGAACTTGTGTCGTTAAAATTTCGTCGGAACAAAGTTACGGAAAAATCAATTAACAAACGGAGACGTAACATAGTTATAGTCGATTCCATTATTCGTTGGTAAAAAGAGTAGCCCAAGAGTTGGCGGTGAGTGGTGTTGACTAGTTGCCTTCTGTCTAGTCCATCACTGCTAAATTGTGGACGGCTAGGACAGATAGACCTCGAGTTGATTTCGACGTAATTCACGAGAAGACAAACCAGCTTTTATTAATGTTTCCGTTACTTAATTAAACAATAAGAAAATTGGAAATGTGCCATTTATGGTTGATTAAGGTTTACAAGTATCTTGTGAAAGTGGATATTCCAGATGGAGTAGCGTTCTCTAGTATTCTATGCACACTGTCATGCTAATACGAAGACCAAGTACACTTATAAAATACAAAAGATATTTACCACGAAGGGATGCTACTGTTGTTGAGAAACGAATTGAGATTATAAAAAAAGCAAAGTAGATTATACGGTCAATTCAAGCTAAAATATTGCATGTTTACAAAACATTTCTGCTCTTAAAATCCTTTTTACTGATGCATAGTTTCTTATTATTATTTCACCCTTTAAATCAATGTGATGTCACACTATTCAGTTCTGAATATATTGTTGCGTCATCGAGATCATGTGATTCTCACGCTCTCTACTTTCTAGAATTATCCTGTACTTTGGCGAATGTTCTAGTTCTTACTAGATATAGGGTAGGCGGGTATATATAAGAGGGGACAACGTGACGCGGTAATGTAATGTGTGCGTAGATAGTGAGTAATTGATCTGCAGTCAGAAGTATTATTGAGCACGTTCGTTGTTATAGCGATTGTTGAAGTTGAGTGTATCGGTAAAGTTATATTCGGAAAGAATAAACCAGTTTTTATTAAGAAGAACTTTTGTCGCATAAGTTTCGTCGGAACGAAGTTACGGAAAATTAATTAACAAACGGAGAACGTAACAAATTGGTGTCAGAAAGTGGGATAAAAAAAAGAAGAAGAAAAAGAGAAGATGGAAACGAGAAGCGGCAAATCAAACTACAGTTTAGCAGATTTGATGGCAGCAATACAAGAACAGC